GAAAAGGCAAAGAAAAGATAATAATACATATACAAAAAAAAAAAAAAAAATTCTAGCTTTAAAAAATAAGAGATTTGATTAAGCACTAAACACAAACATTGATATAATTGATATAAATAAAAACACAAATAAAATGAAAAGACATACATAATGCCTAGCTGACCCCCTTTTTTATTAGCATCCTAGCTAACACCTTCTCATAGACCTTCATGAATTATTGCTTAAACAAGCCACTAATACCATACTATAAAATAGAATTTCCTACCTTGGTATATAAGTCTTGCATCTAGGAATTGTGATTAGCTTTTTATTCATATCAATATTATTACTAATATTGGATAAAATGCCTTTTCTTTTATCAACTACTTGGGTATTCATCAAATCAACTCAGAGGATTTATCACCTAATAAACCTATTGTAATTATAGAATAAAGAATCTTACCTTCTAATTAATTGTAGAATAAAGAATCTTACTTACTAACTCCACAATACATGAAGCAAAACTAGGCCTTAGAGGCTATAAATACAAAATATCAAGCAAAGGAAAAAATGTGTAAATAAGTAAATAATCAAGGAAATGCAAAATTTAAAGAGAAATGCACAACGTAAGTAAGAATCTTGAGGGGGCAAAGTCACTTAGTGGGATTGGATCAATAAATTTGCTCATCCATATGGAAAGCATTTCATTATAGTATAAGATATACTTCTATCAGCCATGTTCTTGTGGATAGTGAGAATTGCATTTTGGCATTGATAACACAAGCCAACATTATTTTCCTTAATGTAATAAAAGAAAAAAACATGGAACTTATCAAGTCATAATAATTAATACCTGTTGCATATTTGTAACTATCTCAAAACTTGGAAAAAAATTACAAATTCAAATTAAAAAAAACACACACACACAAAGAGGAAACTTAAATTATGAGCCAAGATAAATTAATTAAAGTACAAACAAAAAGGTGTCTATCATCAAGGTTTATTTTTTTTTTTTGCATTGGTGTTAGTGTCCATGGATGCTTAAATGTCATGATGTATCAATAACTATGAGTAGAAATAGGAAATCTAATGAGTGATCAATGCATAATCATCAATAATTAGACAATACAAAACAAAGGTTAAACTCATCCTAACAAATGTGGTTTTGGATAATACATTATTTTTGTACCATTGTAGTAAATCTTATATATAAAATGGTAGAACCATTCATGTTAGAGTGGAGTTGAAATAGTCCACAACCATATCCAATGCTTCTCCTAAGAACAACCGTAGCTCGTAGGTGCAACTATAGAAGTTTAGATAAAAAATTTAGGGCAAGGAAAAAGAAAAAAAATAGATGACTCCTCTCAAATATAGCCAACATAAGAAAAAATGTAAGAAATATGCAAAATATTATACTATGAGCATTTGTATTGAACTTAGTGAATAACTCAAATATGCAAAAAAATAACTCAGCATAAAGCTAAGTCATATATGAGGACCATCTGTGACACAAATCAATCTGACTACAAACTAAGCCAACATGCCTATACAATTAAATCAAACTAGTGGGGACCCATGCGATACACATGTTTCGTTAAGTATGAGTTAAACAATAAAAACTCATATTCCAATTTAAGAGAATCAAAAAGCCCAATTATTATTATTGTTATTATTATTATTATTATTATTATTATTATTATTATTATTATTATTATTATTATTATTATTATTATTATAACCATGACGGGTTGTAATAGACCCATTTTAATGGATCATTGTGAACCCATTTCTATGAAATGGATCATATTAGACTCGTTTTGATAGCCTTCTTCACCCAGACATTAAAATGGTTAATGTGTCAACTCGGGTCATATAAGACCTTTTTTCACTATTTCTTGATTTTTTGTTTTTTTTTATTTCTGTTTTTCAAAACATATGTCAATTAACAAAAGAAAAAAAGTGCATTTTGATCTCCTACCTGATGTTTGAAAGCGTTTGCAACCTTGGATGAAAATTTGAACCGTTGAAAGTCTAAAATGTTACAGCTTTGTAAAATAATCTAAAAGTTTTCATTCGCAGTTTAGAACTTGAAAACGTTTGAAACTTGGTATATTTGAATCTGCTTAACCCAAAATATACCTTCTAAGACTCAAAAAAATTGCAACCTTTGAAGAGTTTGAAACCTAGAAGGAAACCTCAAACCTATTCAACTAAGACATAGAGTTATTGATAACATCCTTATTAATAACTCCACGTCATTGCTACGCTTTAATTAATTTGGAATCTGTGCAATGCACAGGTTTGTTTAAGCGGAATTGAAGTAGAAGTCTTATGGCATTCTCATTTGGGTAGAGCTGATCCCTATCCATCCAAATGCTATTTTCAGGTAACTTATTTGTCTATGATTAATTTAAAATATTTTTAACTTTAAAACTTAAGTTGTATGTAATTATTATAAATGACATTTAAATGGATTTTAGATCAAGAATTGTTAATTTTGTTCCTACAAAAATAATAATTAATTTTAAATTACTAAATTTTAACATTTAATTGAATTTTATATAATTACTAATATTAGTATGAATATTAACACTTAACTTAATGTGATCATATGTTAGTATTTAATTATAGTATTATTTTTATAATAATTAATTGTAATTTTAATTTTCCTAAGTTATAGATAAAATGTTAACTAACTTATATGTAGTTATATTAATAGAATCTATTTATATTAATTAATTATACTTTTAATTTTCTGAAGTTTTGCATTAATTAGGTAATAACCTATTTTATTATTAACATTAATTAAATATTTTAACTAAATCTATATCAAATTATTTATTTTATTATTATTATTATTTCAAGTTAATTCCTAAATAGGTCTAAATTAAACTAATCCGGTACCGAATGGCATACAATGGCTCTCATAATCATTGAATCATGCCAGAACATCATCAATAGGTCTAAATTGGTTTTGTAGCTTTTTCTCTATTTCTATCATGTTTTAAATGACTTGGATGGTTCTTTTTATTCTTGAAAAACTTGGGTCATAGAACCAACTTTACCCAAATATACACTGGATAATGGACCAACAGTATGTCAAAATATGAATTGGTTGAAATGCCAAATTGGCAAACTGAACTAAAAAGCACAAATACCATCTCCATATGAATTAATTTATGAATAAAATAGATGATTTTCTAACCATCGTTGACTTGGACAATTGGCTCAGATACCGGTAAGGGTACCGGTTTTGTTTCACCCTTAAGCTTCATTTGGAAGGAGGACAAATATAAATATGTAGAATGTAAAATCTTATATTTTGTATTATTTTGTACATATTTGCATTTATATTTCTTCTAAATTGAGCCTAAATCCTATTTTCCCAAAAGGCCAATAATCATTGAATTGGCAAGAGATCCACTAGTCCAAACTGCCATACTATCAACCTATTTGAACCAGACAATGGTTAGTAAGCCACATTTTTATTTTAATTTTAATTTTTTAAAACAGCACAAATTGATTTTATTCAGATCGGACGATTGAACCGATGGTCCAAGTGATTCTAATTATTAGTCGGTTTTTAATAACATTGAAGCATATATTACAATGCCAAACAACCCATGGTTGATGGAGGGTGTAAGAAGACCAGATACTTTTCTTTTTCTTTTTTCAAACACTCAATTGTGCATGTGGGCCCTAATTCCTAAAAAAAGTTGAAGAATAAACATTAGGGATATTTTCACTTTAGTAGCTTGAACTTTGGGGTAGTGTCAAATTAGTATCTAAATTTTCAAACCTATGACTTAGTATTCAAACTTTCAAAAAGTGTCAAATTACTTACCCAGGTAATGCATTTACCCATGTTCTTTTATTTCTCATATAAATAAGGCAATGACTATTTTATCCATAAAAATCCATTATTAAAATGGGTATTTTTGTCTCATTCAAGTGTTGGCAATTTTCCCCCTAGGTGGGAAAGTTACTTACCCACATAGGAGATGGGTATCACATACGCATGAAAATAAACTTTCCCTGATCCCCACATAAATCTGAAAAAAAAAATGGGATTCTTGGTCAATGAAAACCAAAATTCCATTGACCAACTTTCCCCTTTCAAAATCCAAAAAAAAGAACCCCCTAAGTATGATATAAAACATCAAAACTCCACAATGGTAATTAGTGACTTAGTGTAAGTACATATCGGAACACAAAACAAAATGTCGGCCGATGGAATAATTACATATTTTATATGAAAAATTAAAAATTCATAAAAAACATGAGCATAGCAGCAGAATCAATATAAGGGATCTTATTTTTTGAAAAACTAAACTAAAAGAAAAAATCAGGAACGAACAAATTGCGCTTCCAAATTGACCAGAGTGCAGCAATATGTCATGATCAATCCGACCAAACCTGGTTCTACTCAATCCAAGCCCTCCTAGCTTGAATTGTGTTGTGTTAAGTTCAGGTTGGGTCTGACCTTGGGTTGGGTCAGACTTGAGCTTGAGGTACCTTCAAGGTTGGGGTTAGACCGTTAGAATTACCTTCAATCTGACCCAATTGACCCAGATATTATGTCAGGTTTTCCAGGGAACCTGCTAATGGTGTAGCCGGGCTAGGTCGTGGAACCTGCTACGAACATGCGTGGCAAGTAAAGAGAGGACCCGATCATGATAAGAAGATTCATTCATTGACCTCTCTACCTGTAGAATAACGAACCGCGTGAGTGTACCGAAGGTATCTATTCATTCATAAATGACATTAACTGGAACTGCTGATTGGTTAGCCAAAAAATTATTAAAAAAAAAAAGCATTGGGCTTTTTCATTTAATGTGGCGTTTGTAAGTGGTGATGAAGAAGAAGAATTAAATGCGATTGGGTTCAGTCTGACCGAGTTCAACTTCGTTTCGAATTAAATGCGACGTCCCACTTGCTAAACCATCAAAATCACAAAACCGAGCAAGAATCAGTCTTCACACGAAACCGAGTTCAACTTCTCTGCAGCTTGCATCGTCTCTTTTAAAGGGTCTTCCTGTAATGCTATATTGCTTCAGCTTCACACAGAAATATCGATCATTGCAATAATTAATCAGCAATATATTCGAAATCAATACCAATAGCCGTATCATCCATGTCGACGGCCGGCAGCATTCAAGGTCAGCAGATCGAGGTCACAGGTATGTCTGCCCACCAACCATGTGATCTAACCAAATTATCAATTCTCTATCATCATTCTCTGCAACGTCGACGTCGTTAATTATCATGCTTCTTGAATCTTATCCTTGGCTTTGTGTAGTGGTTGAGTGTACGAAGTTGAATGATAAAGAATGGTTTTCAAGGCAAGACCCATATGTGTGCCTTGAATACGGAGACGCCAAATTCCGGACTAGGACCTGTACAGGTAATGTATACCACCATCTCATCATCTATCCAATAATCTCTGGGAGGACCCTTTATTCTCTTTATCAGATCTCACAAACGCCATCTAGCTCCTTCTGATTCACCTTCTTGACTAAATGTAATGCCCATATATCCGACCTGCTCTCGAACAGATGGTGGTAAGAACCCTACGTTCCGGGAGAAGTTCAATATCGTCCTCTGCGAAGGCCGTCGAGATCTCAAGGTCCTCGTCTGGAACAGCAACACCCTTACTTCCCATGACTTCATCGGCAGCGGAACGTAAATCTCTCTCTCTCATACACACACACACACACAAGAAAAACATCCTTTCTTGCATTTCAACATCCACTTACCCACTTCTGTTATTGGGCTGTTGTTTAGTGTTCAATTCAACAAGGTTCTTTCCCAGGGCTACGACGACTCGACCTGGTCAATACAGAGTAACAGTGGGAGGTAAAGAAATTAATAAATAATTAAACGAACATAAAACCTCTTCCTTTCGATCCTCAGCACTTAATTGACAATATATACCTCCCATTTTGCAGATACGCTGGAGAAGTTAAACTCATATTGCATTACGGTAATGTTAATGTAAGTTTCATCTCTCTCTCTCTCTGCTGCTGCTGCTTCTGCTTTTACAAAGTACATAGTCCATATATCGGCAGGAGTACTGATGATCAAAATTTACCATGTTCATGGGAAATGCAGAAGCCTGCAGCCACAAGTTGTGCTCCGCCTGCGCCAGCAGCCCCCTGTGTTCCAACAATTCTGACACCCAGTTATCCTCCATCATCTGTCTATACAGCTCCTTCTATGGTGTATCCGCCATACCTGCCCAATCCCCAACCAGCTGTTTATTCTCTAGTACAATATCCGCCGCCATCCAACTACCCACCCAGTTCGCAAACAGCTGCTTCATTTCCTCCCATGGCATACCTCTACCCTCCACAGCCACAACCCTACCCTCCACCTACGCAAGCCACACCCTACTTTTATCCACCAGGTAATATTCTTCACCCTGCATTCTAGTTCTTTTCCCATCCATCTCACCATTAACCAGCAATAATGCTATTTAAATCTCCCAACTGATCCCTTACTAACATCTTATTTATTATTTGCAGCTCCATATCCTGGATCTTATCCCTCCCCACCACCCTACTGAGAGTCTGAGATATATATCATTCCATAACAAGGTCCATAGAGAGTGATGATGAAATTAAATAATTTCTTACTGATATTCTTCCAAGTAGTTTTGCTTTGCATTTATATCATTATATTGTATATGCAGTACAAGGAACCCAATCAAAGCCAAAGATATTTGGAGCTGGATGGGTTTCGCTCGGTGTTGGCCTCTATCTTTTGTAACATCCCATTGAAAACTGAAAATAGAAACAAACTATTCTCGGTACAAACATTAATTGTACGATCAAGTCTTGGTAATTACCTCGTTTTAGTCTTTACATCAAGGTAGAGAGTATGAAAATTGCCTTTCTTTACCTGATGAATAAACGTGATACTTGTCTTCCTCTGCTATGCATGTATTCCTTCCTGTTGGGAATGAGCCTACTATCTCACAATAGCCAAATAACAAAATATATCTGATCGGACGCAAGATAATTCTCTTTCCTTCTTTGTGCAATCAAATGGGCATGTATACCAAACAATATCAACCAAATAAAAAATATATGCAATAACAAGAACACAATCCACAAATAAAAGACAAGATTTTAACGTGAAAAACCATTCAAAGCAAAGGGAAAAACCATGGGCTCCTAACCACTTAAAAATCTCCCACTAATAAATCAATGGAGTACAACAAAATGTTTCTCTAACAATAAATCTAGAGGCTATCAACATCAACTATTCACCCAAAGGTGGATTTCATCACATATCACCAAATAACTCAGAGACAAAATTAAATTTCACCAAAAATGATAATAGAGAATAGGAATAGCAAATCAAACCGGCAGATATGTAGCTTGAGATGTCATCAACAACATATTAAAATCTCAGGACGATCGGAGAAGGGATCACCACGCGATCTTGTGTTTTTCACCCAAAAAAACCCATAAAACCTCTATTTTCTCTTTTCTCCTCTCTCTTTCTTTTCTCTCTTTCTCTCTCTTATTTTCGGTGGAAAGCTTCTCTAGACTCTTCAAATTCTCACAACTTACTGAGCAAGTTTATTTGCTCATATATATATATATATATATGCTAATGAGAAGACACGTGAGGCTCCTTTTATAAGCCTCTTTGACTCCTTTTTTTTTAACGTTTGGTGGGCCCTCCACGTGGGAAGGGAACCCAACCAACAATCTCCCCCTCACTTCTCACGTGGAGGGTGGCTCCCCCATGCCAGTGGCCTTCCTGCAAACAACAAGCTTTTCCTTTGACAATGTCTTGGTCATCATATCTGAGCCATTATCATCAGTATGAACTTTCTCAAGTTGTAGCAACTTCATCTCCAACACATCTTGAATCCAATGATACATCACATCTATATGCTAAGAACGTAAGTGGAAAGTAGAGTTCTTATTGAGGTGGATTGCACTCTGGTTGTCACAGTATAGAGCAAACTTTTCTTTCTTATGGCCCAACTCTTGTAGGAACTTCTTCATCCACAAGACTTCTTTACAGCCCTCAGTAATAGCAATATACTCAGCCTCAGTAGTAGACAAAGCAACACACTTTTGCAGTTTTGATTGCCATGAAACAGCTCCCCCTGCAAAAGTAATCAAGAACCCTGATGTAGACTTTCTAGAGTCAATGTCACCAGCCATGTCTACATCTGTACAACCATCTAGCACTGGCTTGTTACTTCCAAAGCACAAACAAACTCTAGAAGTACCTCTGAGATATCTAAGAAACCATTTCACAGCTGCCCAATGTTCTTTTCCTGGATTAGAGAGAAAGCGACTAAAAACACCAACATCATGAGCTATATCTGGCCTTGTACATACCATAGCATACATCAAGCTACCGACTACGGATGCGTAAGGCACATTCTTCATTTCTTCCTTCTCTTTCTCACTTGTAGGACATTGCTTGGAGCTAAGCTTGAAATGACCTACAAGTGGAGATACAACAGGTTTTGCTTTGCTCATATTGAATCTCTCTAAAACCTTCTCAATGTACTTTTCTTGAGATAAACAAAGCTTCTTATTCTTCCTGCCACGGATGATTTTCATGCCAATGATCTGTTTATCTTGACCCAAATCCTTCATAGCAAAAGCTTTACTGAGTTCTTTCTTCAACTTGTTGATCTTAGTAGCATCATGACCAACAACCAACATATCATCCACATAAAGCAGGAGAATAACAAAATCATCAGAAAATTTCTTTACAAACACACAATGATCAGAAATAGTCTTACTGTACCCATTAGCTTCCATAAAGGAGTCAAACTTTTTGTACCACTGTTTGGGTGCCTGTTTGAACCCATATAAACTCTTTCTCAACCTRCAAACAAGATCTTCTTTACCTTATTTCACAAAGCCTTTAGGTTGCTCCATGTAAATCTCCTCCTCTAAGTCACCATGGAGAAAGGTGGTCTTCACATCAAGTTATTCAATTTCTAGGTTTAAGCTAGCAGCCAATCCCAAAACAACTCTGATAGCCGACATCTTCACAACAGGTGAGAAAATTTCTTCAAAGTCAACACCATTTTTCTGATTAAATCCCTTCACAACCAATCTTGCCTTATACCGTGGTTGTGAGCAATTTTCTTCACTCTTCAATCTGAAAACCCATTTATCCTTCAATGCCCTCTTACCCTTTGGTAGCTTTACCAGATCATAAGTATGGTTCTCATGCAAGGATTTCATCTCATCTTGCATCGCTTTTAACCATTATTGTTTCTTCTCATGAGACAAAACCTCCTGATAGTTCTCTGTTTCTCCCCCATCAGTAATCATTACATACTCAGTAGGGGAGTATCTTACAGAAGGTTAACGCACTCTAGTGGATCTTCTCAACTGAGGCCCATCTAGTGGCTCTAAATCATTATGTTCATCTGCTTGTTCTTCTTCATTTACTGGCTCATTATCAACTGGAGGGGTATTTTCATCTTGATCTTCTTGTACATCTCTTCTATTTCCAGTATTTGCAACTGGTAGACCAACCATACCTGGGTCAACTGGTTCATGATCTGTAGACTTTGGCTTATCTGGCTTTTCAAAATCTGCAATAGTCTGATCCTCGAAGAACACTACATCTTTGTTTCTGATGAGTTTCTTGTTGACTGGATCCCAAAACCTGTACCCAAATTCCTCATGACCATACCCAAGAAAGATACACTGCTTCGTTCTACTATCAAGTTTGGATCTCTCATCTCTAAGAACATGCACAAATGCCCTGCAGCCAAAAACTTTCAAATAATCATAAGATACATCTCTTCATTTCCAAACCTTCTCAGGAACATTACCATTCAAAGAAACCGAACGAGAAAGATTTATCAAGTCAACTATTGTCCTCATTGCCTCCCCCCAAAAGGGCTTAGCTAGCTTTGCATGAGAGAGCATACATCTAATTCTGTCATTAATAGTACGGTTCATTCTCTCTRCAACACCRTTGTGTTGRGGTGTTTTTGGCACTGTCTTCTCAAACTTGATCCCATGAATTCTGCAATACTCTGTAAATGGCCCTCTGTATTCACCACCATTATCTGCACGAACACATTTCAACTTTCTTCCAGTTTCCCTCTCAACTGCAACATGAAAATACTTGAAAACATATCTAAAGCTTGATCTTTAGTTTTCAAACAATTAGCCCAGACTTTTCTGGAATGATCATCAATAAAAGTAATATAATAATGAGCACCACCAAGACTCAAAGAGTCCATAGAACAAACATCAGTATGGACCAAATCTAGAGCATTTGCTCTTCTAGAATGAGAGAAATTTTTAAATGCAACTCTGTGTTGTTTACCTACCAAGCAATGAGAGCATAACTTCAAGTCAGAAAAATTCAAACCTTGAACATTATGCTTCTTTGAAAGAATCTACAAACCATTCTGACTTAAGTGACCCAACTGTGTATGTCAAAATTCAATGGAAGAGACTTCAACTGCATTTACCTCTCCCCCACAAGATTTAGCCTTTGTCACATAGAGAGAACTATACTTGTTTCCCCGAGCTACCACCAAAGACCCTTTAGTGAGCTTCCATTTTCCTTCACCAAAGTAGTTATGATAGCCGTCATCATCAAGCATCCCAATGGAAATCAAATTAAGGCGAATCTCAGGAACATGCCTCACATTCTTCAAGAGCAATTTGCATGTAGTATTTGTATTCAGGTAGACATCTCCTATACCGACAATTTTGCACTCTACACCATTTCCCATCTTCACATGACCAAACTGACCACTAGAATATGAAAGAAAATATCACGACGAGAAGTGACATGATATGAAGCACCGGAGTCTACAACCCATTGTGAATCCTGACATGTGAGATTGACGCTGACACCATCGCATATAATACAAACATCATCACTAACTACAGCTACTACAGTATTGTCTTCTTTCTTTTCTTCGCCATTTTCTTTGCTTTGTTCCCTCTTAAGTATTCTGCGTTGGAAAATCTTGTGTCCTAGCCTGCCACAGTGATAACACTTAATCTCTTTCCTTGACTTGGATCTTCCTCGAGACCTGTCATTGCTATCATGATTCTTTGGAGTTCTACTTTTGCTTCTCCCTTGCCTTTCAGTAACTAAAACTTGACTTTGTGTTGTTAACCCTTAGACTTTTCTTCTGTTTTCTTCATTCAACATGCTCTTCTTCACCATTTTCAAAGCGGGTACACCATTTGGAGAAGAGTTACAAGGGAAACCACAAGAGTATCCCAACTGTCAAGCAATGAGTTGATCAAACACATAGAATGAATCTCTTCATCTAACTTTACCTCCATAGCAGCCAGCTGGTTCAATATACCTTGAAAGACATTCAAGTGCTCAGAAAAACAGAAGTTTCATCCTGATATCTCAAACACATAAGCTTTTTGAAAAGAAAAACATTATTCTGATAATTTCTTTTCTCATATAACTCCTGCAGAATAGTCCACACCTTGTGGGCATTAGTCTCATTGGCAACATGCTGATACACAGTATTATCCACCCACTGCCTGATCTTTCCAACTACCTTTCTATTTAGTTTTTCCCAGTTTTTATCAGACATACCCTCTAGCTTGCCTTCATCACCTAATATGGTGTCTTCATAGTCATAACWACAGAGCATATCCATCATTCTAGACTTTCATATTGAATAGTTTAAATCAATGAGCCTGATCATAGTGTCACTGTTGTTACTGGTCAAGTCCTCCATTTAATTAGCACAAGAAATTTCTCAAAATAACCGAGGCTTTGATACCACTTGTTGGGAACAAGATTGCTATCTCACAATAGCCAAATAACAAAATATATCTGAACGGAAGCAAGATAATTCTCTTTCCCTCTTTGTGCAATCAAATGGGCATGCAAGCCAAATAATATCAACCAAATAGAAAATATATGCAATAACAAGAACACAATCAACAAATAAAAGACACAAGATTTTAACGTGAAAAACCATTCAAAGCAAAGGGAAAAACCACGGACTCCTAACCACTTATAAATCTTCCACTAATAAATCAATGGAGTACAACAAAGTGCTTCTGTAACAATAAATCTAGAGGCTATCAACATCAACTACTCACCCAAAGGTGGATTTCAACATATATTACCAAATAATTCAAAGACAAAATTAAATATCACCAAAAATGATAATAGAGAAGAGGAATAGCAAATCAAACCGATAGATATGTAGCTTGAGATGCCATCAACATATTAAAATCTCAAGACGATCGGAGAAGGGATCACCACACGATCTTGTGTTCTTCACCCAAGAAAACCCACAAAACCTCTCTTTTCTCTTTTCTCTTTTCTCCTCTTTCTCTCTCTTATTTTCGATGAAAAGCTTCTCTGGACTCTTCAAATTCTCACAACTTACCGAGCAAGTTTATTTGCTCATATATATATGCTAATGAGAAGACACGTGAGGCTCCTTTTATAAGCCTCTTTGACTCCTTTTTTTTTATTTATGGTGGGCCCTCCACGTGGGAAGGGAACCCAACCAACACTTCGTTCAACTTAAAGAGCTTAATATAATGATAAACATGTAATAAAAAATTAGCTCAAATCCATGAACATAGATGCACAACCCTTTTTATTACAAAGCTATATATAAGCTAAAGACTTCAGTGTCCCTTAATTTGGCGAGTTCGTGTAGTCATGCTTTATCTGACAAGAAAAGTGATTTTTAACGGCATTTGAAAATGCCACTAAAGATAGGTAAAATCACCACTAAAGGCTATAGCGGCGTTTTCAAATTATGCCACTGATATCTGAATCGGTAAAAGTTTTAGTAGCGTTTATATGATTTTTAGTGACACTTAAATAAATGCCAATAAAACTTACTTTCAGTGGTGTTTATCCAAATTTTAGTGGCACTTATATAAACACCCATAAAAACTATTTTTAGTGACGTTTTATTCATCCTTTAGTGGCAGTTTTAAATGCTATTTTTAAATTTAACAATGGCATTTATTGACACATTTAGTGGCAATTCTTATTGCCACTAAATAACAACCGCTGTAATGGCAATTATAAGTGCCACTAGATGGTTACCATAAAAGCTAACAATAACAATATAATAGCATTTATTTTTTTATATAGTGGCATTTTTAAATGTCTTTAAATATTTATCTGTATAGTGGCATTTTATAAATGCCACTAAAAGGTCTTAACCATTCTATTCATTTAGGGTTTAGTGGCATTTACAAGCACCACTAAATGTCTAAACATATTCATGCATGCATGCTAAAAAATAATAAAATGAAGCAACAAAATAGATGTTGCTTATTATATAATGGTAAATGGACCTGTATCAATAAACACTAATTTCATCATGCCCTTTAAATCAAATGCATATTATATATTTAATTAAAAAATCAAATAATTATGAAATTTAACCAAATAAACTATTTTCATATAAAACAAATTTATCATAAAATGTTTATATATATACAAATGTCACTTTCAAGGCATTGACCAATAGTGGAGACAAAACAAAACAAAAAACAAAATGTGTACTAAAAAACTCGATACACAAACAAAAGTCATCTCCCTCTATTCTTTTTAAATGTCTCCATCAAAGCCAAAAGCACCTTTGCTCCATGTGTCAACAATTTCCTACAAAACAATTACATTATGTTAAAAATTTAATCAATTAACATAAAATTTCCTATACAAATTATTAATCATTATATATTTATAGAAAAGAAATAAAATGAAATATCTTAAAATAAGAAGAAAATTGGCATAAAAAATAACCTGAAGTTTCCATCTTCATAGCAAACCCTACCACTTTGTCATGTATAAGTTCTTTAAGTTAACAATAGCAAAGTAAGAAATCTTATGACACTTAAGTTTTCCTTGGTCTCTCTACTTCCCAAAGTTAGAAATCTTAGGGTCATTGTCAACTACTTTAATGTAGTATTTGGCCTTAGTATCATCATCTAATAAGGTACAACATTAAGAGTTGGTTATTACTATGAACTCCATCTACAAACTTGAAGATCTGGCAGGTGGTAGGCTTTCTTCCACATCCCTAGAGTTCTTTCATTCCGTTGCTTTTCCTTTCCTTTTATATTTCTAAATTATATTTTCTTCCTTTCTTGCGGCCAATGTAAGGGTTCCTTGTTCTGTTGGGAGTATCTAAAAGTTGGTTTGTTTTTGAAAAGCTCTTAATGAAACCTCATTGTTCATAGTACAAAGCCAATAGGTTTGAGATGTGTGCTCATCTCTCTCTCTCTCTCTCTCTCATCAAGAATAACAATGAAGGTATACAAAGCCAATAAGTTTGGGATATGTAAAGCCATCTTTTATGATAAGAAGGTATACTAATTTGGCAAATATGATTAGACTTATGAAATGACCTCAGTTTACAATTAATGTAATTAACATACTTTCATAATTAAGCATACAACATGTAACAATAAATAAACATAATAAAAATTGGTGCATGTTGACCCAAACACGTCTTAGAGTCTGTCTATATAAAATCCAAGAACAGAAACTTAATGACCAAATAAAGTACACATGTTGACCCGAGATCAAGTCCCATGCATACACAGTTTTAACAGCTATACTGCAAAAAAATCAACTAGGTTGCATGGATTCTTCTAGAAGACAAAGTACTTATCAAGTGCATACCGGTAATTTCCTGGTGTAATGGTAAAAACTCAGGCTGACAAACATGAGAACACAGGTTCAAGTCTGAGAGCAGTCACTTTGTGAAAAAAGAAAGAAAAAACAAAGGTTGGGTCTGATCCAACATGACCAACCTTATTTTGCAACATGGAATGTGCAGACTGATTCAAGCCATCCATTAAATAGGTCAGCCTCTAGACTTACCATATGTTTAATACCTACGTTCACATCATCATTGTACCACATCTTTTATTGGTATTTTCCCAGGGACATAAGCTGCCCAAAGTTTTACTTTAGAAATTGCTAAGAAAAATGAGCCTGTTTTGAACATTTAGTGGGTTTAAGGTTAAAATTATTCCTGGATAGGATACAGGGAGACAAACAAGTGGCAATCTTGTGAGCAGCAAACCCTCTTGCCACATGAAAGCTTTTGTTAGGCCATTTATGGTTTTTTTTTCCTAAAAAACTAAACAAATAAGCATGCCATTTTAGTATTCATCATTGAAGTTTCATTGTACCTTGCATAATAAATTCATATTAATTTTTCATGTATGTCTGTGCATGTGTACATACATACATGCATATGTATGTATCATAACAGATCAGATTGGATTGGATCCATATCCATTTGAATTATAAACATATGAAACTCAGGTCTCCTTAATCGGATTGTATTTGAATTCAAATTCAAATAAACAGATGCCATTTGCAGCCCTACATATTCCATTACTCATACCACACAAACAGCCAAACTAGCCTTTCGGACACTATGAAAGTTGAGGTCCTAGCAGTTCTTGACAGTCTCTGAATAATAAAGAGATTAGGATTATTCTCCTAGCTTGTTGGTGTTAGGTGACTTGAACAATGTTATCAATTGGTTGATCTTGCGGAACTGTGGGCCTTGGAGGCTAAATCATTTTATCTTAAGTTCAAGACATTGAAAGTGTTTTAAATTCCTGTTTTTGTTGTCAATTTCCTTTTGCATTCAAGAAATACTATTTGTCAATTTCCTTAAATAAGACATCAGATGTATGGTGTACTGAAGTTGCAGTTGAACTAGAGGGAACCCTTGCATGCATGGTCATGACTCATGAGTTCATGAGCATCTATCCTAGTTGTTTCACTGTTTGAATGTTAGACTAACCATTACTTTGTTGTCAATAAAGTAGAAAGCTGGTTGATGGCCCGACATAACACCCTTCCTTGAAATTATAGTTCTGAAACTTGAAATTCATGAGCAAAACAAATAACCATGTCGATAAAACATGGTCTGCAGCATATAATGGCAAAGGAAAGGACCATTCAAGACTGAGACCTCATTATTATTAGGAAAATTTAAGAATCCAATAAATTTCTTAATTTTTTCAATTTTCTAATAACATGTTTCAAAGTTTTTAGCTTTTATGTTTTAATGTGTAATTTTTGAATTTTGATGCCTTGAGTTCTAAAGATAAGTTTGGATATAATACACACTTTGACTATTGTACACTATAATATGGTTTACAGCTATACATTGATCCAAAAACTTTAGTACTCAAGTGCCAACTAGCTCAATTGGTAAAATCTGGGGGAATTGAATGCATTAAAATAGAACCAACCTCCATTTAATAATTGATAATAAGCCACCAAGATGTCTAGGAGGAGTTTTGGCTTTACATAACTGTTTCTGAATGGGTGGCAAATCCATCATACATTGAAATTGTTGAAAATATAATGTTACTATATGCAAATAATATGTCGACATGTGGGGGATAAATGGGAAAAAGAAATTGAATCAAACGAACAATATAAATGAGGCCTAGTAAGAGTTTAGCCTGAGTTGTTGATGGTAAGAGTACCTATGAGACTGCTGATGTGGATGCGTATTGGGAGCAACAGCGGCAATGATCTGATGTTCTCATCCTATCCAATTCGGCAACAACAGTCTTATCCATTCAGCATATTAGATTAGACTATCTTGTTATTCTTATCCTATTAAGTTAGTAGATTAGATTATCTTATCT